GATGATAAGTTTGTTATAGAAGTAAGAAAGGTGCGTAAGGTGATGTGAAAAGATTGTTTGAGTTCGTAAAGTATATATTTAATTACATCTGAAGAAGATTTAAGGTTGTGTTCTGTGTCAAGTGGTGATGGAATAAGAGTTTAGTTATTGTGGTAGAGTAATTAAAAAAAATGCAATTGATTCATGATTTTAAATGAATGGATTGAGGTTACTGTGTATATGATAAGTGACAATAAATGAATGTATAAAGGAAAAACGAAGTTGAAGAACTAAAGGAAGGAAGGGTTCAGTAAAGGAGGCAACATGAGAACATTAGAAGGTATGTTATTATGGGTATGTGCAATGAAAATTTGAGGACGAATTTTCTTTAAAGGAGGGGAGATTTGAAATATCCCAAAATCCAATTAGTGACTAAAATGGGAATTTTGAAAGTTTTGTGTTCAATTTAAAAAAAATTAAAAGTTTTGGGATTTAAGTAAAGAATTTTAATAGTGGATTAAATAGCAAAGATAGGTGAATTAAAGGGTAAAATGGTATTTTTATGGGAAAGATAAATCTTTCCTATAAAACATGGAAAATATGAGAAAGTTTCCAGACTTCTCTTCTTCATTCTCTTCTTCTCCACCGTGAAGACATAAGAAAAGGTAAGATCTCTTGTTGGTTGATATTTAGCTGAATTTAAGATTTGGTTATGATCATTGGGTGATAATTAAGCTTAAGCAAAACTTAAATCATCTTTAAAACAAAGGATGGTGGAATTATGAGAGATTAAAGATTAAGAGTTTTCGAATGATTTTTGGAATAGAGTTCATTACTCAAATTGGAAGATAAATTTGACTTGTCGTCAACTTAATTAAGAGATATGAAGTGATAGAATTGAATTTAGAACAAGTAGAAAATTTATTATGATTCTTGAATTCCATATAAAAGATAGGATTTTGATATTTAAGATGGGATAAATGAGTACAAATGGGCTTAAGTATGTGTGTTTGAGTTTAGTATATAAAAGGGGTTGGAATAAGAAGTGTTTAAGTTGAAATGAAGTAATTTTCGGTATGAAAATGTGATTTATGGACTAGGGGAATCGGTACCCATTCAAGGGGAACCGATACCCCCTCAAACGAACCAGAATTACAGAATGTCATGGGGGAACCGATACCCCCACAGTAGGGTATCGATACCCCCTAAAGGAAAAAAGTGAATATTGGTTTATTAAGTTCGTTTAAGCTGTTAGTATCGAATTACAAGGTGTAGGTATCTAATAATTGCCTTAAAATGTATAATTGTGTAGAAACAGAGCTTAAACGAGTTCTGGAACCATTGACAAGTAAGATCGATCGGGGGGAATAGATAAGAGATCGATATTGACTAGTGAGGCTAGGTGAGTGCATACTTTTGGTATCTTGTGTTAATGGAAATATGACTCGCAATGAGTCTATTTCCTATAGTAGAATGAATGAAGTCATGAACATGAGCATGGTTTGATATGATTATATTTGCTATATGTTGATATGCTTTGTGTGTGATACATAATTTATGAAAATATTATTATATATTAATGGGAAAGAATAAAATAAGTTATGTAATGATATGCTTATAAAAGAAAAGCCATGTAAGTATATGCTATTTACAGAATAATTAAGCCAAAGGTCATTATGATATATAAGAATGAAATGTAAGCTACATATAAGTGATAAGTCATGAAGATATGTGATTATGAGAAGATTCAAGAGAACCAAATATAAATCGGAAGATAATAAATTAGGTGACTCTAGAATAATAATAATAATAATAATAATAATATATATAAATTAGGGGAGATGAACATAATGATGATATAAACCTATAGGATAAGCACTATAGGAAGTGTGATATACTTAAAGGAAATTATGATATAGGAATTATCGAATGAAGAACTATAAAATCCCTATGAGAAAGATTATAGGTATTATATGAAACGGAATTAAATAAATAGAGTAAACTAGTATTTAAATATTGTGAAATAAGTGATATAAGTCATATGTTAGTGAAAAGGTTAGTGTAATAAATCATGTAACTGATAAAAGGGAAATGAGATAACATAAGTAACAATCACCTATAAGATTCAAATAAGATTCTATGAATATGTAGCGTAAACTATATAAGGGAGACTTAGATGTTATACGATTTAAGCATGAAATGAACATAAGATATAGTCAGGTGAAATTATTATGTGACAAGAGTATATGAATATGTTAGATAAGTAATATGGGAAGGTCGTTATGTTAAATGAAACAATGATCTAAAACTGTTAGATTTTTATATGATATGAAGTATAGTACAAAGTACATGATGTTGTAATAAATTATAGAAAGTGGTATAAAGAAATTATATGAATAAGTGAAAGAGTAAAATAAGTTAATCAATATTGACCTAAATTATATTATGAATTAGTGGTATAAGAATATAATATAAAATATGCAATAAGAATCTATATGATATGACCTATGAGATCATATGAAATATTATATGACTATGTGATTATATGAAAAAGAAATACAATTATATGTGATAAGCTCTATGATATGTGAATCATATGAAAATGTTCTACGTGTAAGTGAACCATGGGTCTACACATATATGTGATATGTGATTGATATGATAGTGAGCTATGTGAAAGAACTATGAGATTACGTGTAGATGTGAATGTGTTATAACATAAATATTAATGTCCATGTTATGCGACAGTGTCTACGCGGTCCTTCGGGACATATATGTATTCTTTGGAACATGTGTGAGGTCTTTTGAGACACATACTTGATCCTTGGCTTATGTATATGATTCTTAAGGAATTTTCTATGTGGTCCTTAGGGACAATCTTATATGGCACTTCAGTGTATTTCTACGCAGCACTACGGTGCAATTCTACGTGGCACTTCGGTGCATTTATACGAGCTGTGGTGACAACATTAGTGCACAACCTCAATAGACTCACATATCTATAGTTCTCACAGTGTACATGAGCTAATCAAGAGATAATAACAAATACACTATATATGATATGTATGTTTGGTAATGTTAAGTGTGTTAGAGAAATCTCATGATTATACGTTTGTTAATTGGTATAGTTATATATGTGCTATATGATGTGTATGCATGGTGAGTAAAGGGTCATATGATCAAAGAAATCAATGATAATGATAAGAATTATAATAAAGATAAAGAATTGATATGCATATGTTTGTAGTTATGTTTGATACATAATGCATTCCATAGTTTATGAAGTTTACATGAAATATGCATAATAGCAATTAGAAATTATATGTTATAGTAAATTTAATTATGCCTCACTAAGTCATAGACTTGGCGTGTGATTGTTTCACACGTAGGTTACAGAAGTGAGAAGAGAATCTAAGAGGAGCAAGACAAGTTAGCATATTCCTTACATCGTTTCAGATCAGAAAAGAATTGTTTGATATGTATTTGATTCTTTTAGATATAGTTGGCATGTAATATAAACAATTTGAATAGTATATGCTCTGATAAGTTTGTAAACTTTTATGATGAAATAATATGAAGTTTTCTTTAACGGGAAAGTTTCATTATTTTTAACAAGGGTTTTAAAAGTAAATATGACACCCCGGACTCGGATCCGGGTTGAGGGTTTTACAATATGTAGCATCCGTTTGAGTCAAATGCCATTACATTAGATGAGTAATGGGGCATCATAATTAGGAAAAGATCATTTCATTTCATAATGAAGCTATATTCCATTTGTCAATTTTGTTTGAATTTGTTTTTCATCTTTTCTCATGTTTTTTTTGTAAGGGTATTTAAATGAATCTATGCTACTTTAAAGATGGTGAGCATTGAATCAAATTTGTAACTTGAAATTTTTTGAATATCGACTGAATTAAAAACTTTGTAAATGATCAGAATTATAGATCTTTGACAAAGTCACATAATTGAAAACTGAGAAAACAGGAGTGTATACGAATCACATGTTCGAACCATTATGATATGTATACATGTACGCATATTTATTTTAATTATGTTATTCGTAAGCATAGATTTAGGCGTAATTTATCCTTTTAAAATATGTATGTTATCATCACGTGCATAACTCGATTCATATCAAATATTGGATTAAGGGTAATATCATTTTACTTCAAAATTATTTTGAGAGGCTTGTCTTAACTTATTAGAGAACCGCTTTTGATGATTTTAAATTGAAAGTGTATTCCCAATAGTGAAACCTATAAAATGATTCCTCAATCAAAATTTGGGAACGAAAGAAAAAGAAATATTCGATTATTTAAATTCTTCAAGAAAAGTTTGTTAGAACTTATCTAAGGTCTGATATCGATGTTTTAAAATAATCGAATATTTTCTTCTTTTTAAAAAAATTAGTAATTTTTTATTTAATCTATTTTGGTGCATTTAAATATTATAATAGAATTATAATATTTCTTTATTTCGATTGGAGTAAGGATTGATTGCCTCACAGTCAGAGAGATTTGTTTCTTCTCGATAGAAAATAATTAAATATTATTTGATTTCATATTAAAATTCATAAATTGTTTTATGGGATCATGAACTTATTTAAACTCGAACTCGTAAAATTCATTGTAAAAACAATAATTAATCAAATAGGTGTCGATTTAGGATTCTGTAGGAATACTAATCATTCCCTACGCATAACCGACTCCCGAACTCAAATTTTGGTAATACAAATAATAAATTTATCGTTTTAATTAAAATTAATTTTTTTATTTAAAATGACTATTTTTGGGTGCCCAATCACACCATAATCAAAGATTTGTGACAACTCGAACCATATGTTTTTATCGTAAAAGAAATACCAAATTTTTCGAAACGAGAGATTTTTTTAATCACATTTATTTTTTAATTAAAAATTAATCATAAAGAATATAATTAAAAATGGTTTGATTTTTAAAATCTCACTTAAGAAAAAAATCATTTCGACATAGGCTATGCAACAAAGGTAAAAGATCAAATGTTCAAAACCCTATCCTTTGACACAATTCTTTTATTTTCAATTGCTTGTCATTACTCCTCTTCATGCTCTTCTCAAGATCCTCTATCTTCCTTTCCATAAACTCAACATCCTAAATAAAATGAATTTAAAAAGTAATTAGTACATAAAAGTCCTTATTAGGTTCTTCAATGTTGGCGTATAATAATAGAAAAACCATCATATAGATAAAGGAATTCCTAATAAAGAAATGACAGAATTGCATTTGTAACAAGGAAACAACAGACCAAGTGAAATCTTTAACTGATGCCATAAATTAAATTTCAAAACAAAAACATATTATAGCTAACTTTCTTCAAATCTTAACACCCCCCAAATATAATGAATAAGGAGATGATAGACATTAGGAATACAATAAAATCCAATCAAAGTTATGACACACACGCACACAACAGAGGCACAAGCATAATACGTACATGTACTAATCATTTTAATTCAAATTTCATCTTCAAGCTTGTAAAAAGTGCAGTCAAGGGAGCAACGCACACTCTATGTGCTAGAACCCTTATATTGCCTCAGGTGCAAGGCACAAAAGAAAGGGCTAGCGAAGTGAAATAAAGTGCAATATGTATATGTTACAGTCGGAGGAGAAGGATGAGAAACGATGATTTGGGAATTGAACGAGGGTTAGGGATTGAAGAGGGGGGTTTGGGAATTGAAGCACGTGAAGGTCAGGTGCTTAACTTACCTGATGAGTTGGAGAAGGCCAAGCAGATCCAAGGAAAGCTGGAGTGGCCCAAACCCGATGGCCAAATACCTGCCGAAAAGAAGCAATTATGTTAATAGTTTGTTATTTAGGATTTCCATCTGGCATCCTTAGATTCGTACTGCATTGTAACTAAATAATACCTGCTTGTGGGAGCATTTTTTTCCCCTATGTAATGAATGAATGAACTTTTCTTCTCTAAATTCTCTCATTCTTCTATCATCTTTTCACGAATCCTTTTCTACTTCTCTCGAGCTATCTAGAGCCTCATTTCCTGGCAAGTTTCAGTGGGTATGCCAAAGAAGAATCAGAATATGGCTAAAACTGATCACTATGCACTGCAAAAACAGATTGAAGAATTAGCTATGTTGGTGAAACAAGGCCAAGAAGAAACTCATCCACCTAAATGGTGGGAAAGTCAAGAAAATCGAATCACTGGATTAGAATCAAGGATGTCTACTAATCAAAGTTATGTTGAGTAGCAGTTAAAGATTTTAATAGGCAGAAATGGTGAACAAGAAAATTCTGCTGGTGAACAGGTACAAACTCCTAATACTTCTAAAAATGACGGGAAGAATCCTGTTTTGGTTATTGTGGTGAATGATAAGTCCAAATTTACTTATAAAACTGATGAACCTGAGATTTTAAAAGCTAAACCTGACGCTTGTCTAGTCCTTAAGAATAGTTCTAAACCTGAGAATCAAATGGGTGAAAACAGTGAAACTAGACCTATTTTTTTTGGTTCTAAAGTAAAAAGAAAATGCACAGGGGGCTCATTTAATATTTCAGGGTCTATGTGACATCGACCTAAAATTGAACTGCCATTTTTTGAAGCGGTCAATCCTAGGGGATGACTTCAGAAATGCCTTAAATATTTCTCTCTTTGTAGTGTTCCTGTAGATCAGAGAGTAGAAGTAGCCACTATGTATCTAACGGGAAAAGAAGAAATTTGGTTTGATGGCTATATCATGCAGAAACACCATGTAACGTGGCATGAGTTTAAGGCAGATCTTTGTCACAGATTCAGTGGCAGGTATTTCTGATATAGTAGAGGAATTCACTAAGTTAACTCAGAAGGGGTCTGTTGAGGACTATCAAGAGAGATTTGAAGAGTTAAAACCTCACATGCTATTGCAAAATCCTACCTTAAATGAGGATTTCTTTATATCACTTTTTATCAGTGGACTTAGAGAAGACATCAAACATAAGGTCAGGGCTCTAGATCCTAAATTTTTTTCTAAAGCATGCAAACAAGCTAAGCTTTATGAATTATCTGCTGAGTTTGAGAACAGAAGAATGATGCCTTCTTTTAAAAACCCACCCTACTCAAACCCCATTACTACTACTAAGACAAATTCACTGCCAGTACCTCCCAAGACTACATCATTACCAAACCCAAAACAGAACCTAAAAGACTATAGAAGGCAAAATAACCTCTGTTTTAAGTGTGGTGAGAAATTTCTTCAAGGTCATCAGTGTAAAAACATGCAATTGAACATGATTACTGAAGAAACTGACACTTCTCCACTGGAAGTTTTCCTACTGAGTCGGATCAATCTCCACAACAACAACAAGAAAACCTAGAAATTTCTATGAATGATATTATTGGCTGCATTGGCCATAATACATTGAGAATTCAAGGAACTATTCAGGGAAGACCATTAAATATTCTAATTGATAATGGTAGCATACACAGTTTTTTGACCCTAAAATGGGCTGATATTGGCATACAAATTACTACTACTTACCCGTTGGCCATCACTGTTGCTAATGGACAGTAGCTTTTCAATTCTGTTAGACGCAGCAAAGTTGAATGGAAAATGCAAGGACACACTTTTATACATGATTTCAGATTGCTTTAAGTGGGTGGAAGTGACATGGTCTTAAGGGTTGATTGGATGAAGTTATTTAGTCCAATACTAATGGATTTCAATAATATGACATTAAGCTTTGACCATCAAGGAGAGCATATTATTATTCAAGGTAAACAACCCTCTACAAAACTATATCAGATTTTAGGGGCCATATTACTTAAAATAACTGCATGGGATTCAGATATTATGGGCCACATTGTTCTATTGAATATGACAGGGAATCCATATCCTATTCCTACTGAACTCAAACATTTATTGGAGAAATACAATACAATTTTTGCTGAACCTGAAGGACTACCTCCTCAGAGAACTCATGATCATGCCATTCCACTTAAGCCTATTTCAACACTTGTTAATCTAAGGCCCTACAGGTTTGCTCACAATCAGAAGGCTGAGGTAGAAAAACAAATTGCAAGCATGCTCTCTTCTTCTGTTATACAGCCTAGCAGGAGCCCTTTTGCATCTCCCTGTCTTCTTATTAAAAAGAAGGATGGCACTTGGAGATTTTGTGTGGATTACAGACAGTTAAACAACATGACAATCAAGGATAAATTATCTATTCCTATGGTCGAAGATTTATTAGATGAATTGCATGGGGCAGTTAATTTTCAAAAATTGATTTGAGATCAGGATATTGGCAAATTAGAATCAGACCAGAAGACATTTACAAGACAACCTTTAGAACACATTAACGCCATTATGAATTTAATGTGATGCCTTTTGGCCTTACTAATGCTCCTGCTACATTTCAGGCTCTTATGAATGAATTATTTAATTATTTTCTTAGAAAATTTGTCTTGGTATTCTTTGATGACATTTTGGTATACAGTAGCAGTATGCAAGACCATATTAATCATTTACATATGGTTTTAGAAGTTTTGCAACTAAACAAATTATTTGAAAAAATTTCCAAGTGTTTTTTTGGACAGACTCAGGTGGAGTATTTAGGCCACATCATTTCGACTGGAGGGGTGGCTACTGACCCCAACAAGGTGGAAGTAATGCAAACTTGGCCTAGACATAAAACCCTCAAGTCTCTACGCGGGTTTCTAGGTTTAACAGGCTACTACAAAAAATTTATCAGAAACTATAGCCTTATTAGAAGACCTTTGACACAACTGTTAAAGAAAGATGGTTTCTAGTGGAATTCTGAAGCTTATACTGCCTTTGAAAACCTTAAAAAAGCTATGTTATGCTCTAGTCTTAGCTTTACCATATTTTTCTAAGAGTTTCTATTTAGAAACAGATGTCAGTTCTGGTGGTATAGGGGATGTACTTTCACAGGATGGTCGACTTATTGCCTATCTAAGTAAATCTCTCAACCCTTGACACTCTACACTTTCCATTTATGAACGTGAATATCTTGCTATCCTTTTAGATGTTTCAAAGTGGAGGCATTATCTAGAAAGCATGCCTTTTGTCATCAAGACTGACCATGAACCCTTAAAGTACCTTTTAGAACAGAAGTTGACTACCACTATTCAAAAGAAGGGGTTCACCAAACTATTGGGGATGGACTACACTATACAGTACAGAAAAGGGAAATCAAATGTAGTTGCAGATGCTTTATCTAGAAGATGGGAAGATCAAGCTCAATGTTTTACTTTGGGGGTAACAGTTTTAATACTTACTTGGGTTCAAGAGGTAGAAGATAGCTATCAGGGAGACAACCTAGCTAAGGATTGGATTTTAATCCTCACTATCAATCCTACTGCAGACACTAAATGGAAGAATTCAAAGGGTGTTTTCAAACACAATGACAGAGTGTATATTGGGACTACTGGAAGTCTTATATTAAAGATTCTTCAAACCTTGCATGACTCTCCTCAAGGTGGTCATTCAGGAGCACAGGCTACATATCATAGGATAAGGTCAAATTTTTATTGGCCTAGACTTAAGGCTATGATAGCTACTTATGTGAGGTGTTGTGAGACTTGTCACCAAACTAAATTAGAACATATAGCAAAGCTTGGTTTGCTACAGCCCCTGCCTATTCCTAATCAAGCTTGGGAAGTAATTACTATGGATTTTATAGAGGGCCTACTTACTTCCCTTAGAAAAAATTGCATTTTGGTAATAGTGGATAAGTTTACCAAATACAGTCATTTCCTGCCACTATCTCATCCTTATTCTGTAGCTGAGGTAGCTAAACTATACCTAGACAATGTTTATAAGTTGCATGGCTAGCTTAAAATGGCCATTTCAGATAGAGATAAGACTTTCACTAGTGCTTTTTGGAAGGAATTAATGAAACAATTGGGTATTAAAACCCTTTTCAGCACTACTTATCATCCAGAAACATATGGCCAAACAAAAAGAGTTGATCAATGTTTGGAACAGTATTTAAGAGGCCTTTGTTTCTTTCAACCTAAACAATGGGCTAAATGGCTACCCCATGTAGAGTGGTGGTACAACACCACTTACCACACTACTCTATAACTTACTCTTTTTCAGGCCTTATATGGATACAAACCACCTATTATGGTTTAGCCTATAGACTCTACAGTACAATCAGTAAATGATATCATGAACAGTAGAGATCAAATCAGAAAACTGGTTAAACAACAGCTAGAATTGGCTAGTAATCGAATGAAGCAACATGCAGATCAAAAACGATCAGAGAGGGTTTTTGCTATTGGGGATGTGGTTTACATGAAATTACAGCCATACCGACAAACTTCACATGCCCTACGAAAAAATCTAAAGTTAACAGACAAATTTTATTGGCCATACAAAATTCTGGAAAAAATAGCAGAGGCTTATCGATTGGACTTACCAGAATCAACGCGACTGCACCCAGTATACCATGTGAGCCTCTTGAAGAAATTCATCAGGGAATCATCCACTTCTGCAACAGATCCTCCTGCAGTAGATGAAGAAGGACAGTTAAGAATCAAACCTTTGAAAATTATGGGCAGATGTATAGTGAATCGAAATAGCAAACTCGTGACTCAACTTTTGGTTCGATGGGAGAATTTGGATGAAGCAAATGATACTTAGGAAGATTATTCAGTTCTTAAAGGGCAGTTTCCTATGTTTAATCCTTGGGGACAAGGCTCGTCTCATGGGGCGGGTATTATTACAGTCGGAGGAGAAGGAGGACGAGGAAACGATGATGATTTGGGAATTGAGGAGTGAGGGTTAGGGATTGAATAGGGGGATTTGGGAATTGAAGCACGTGAAGGTCATGTACTTAACTTACCTGATGAGTTGGAGCAGGCCAAGCAGATCCAAGGAAAGCTGGAGCGGCCCAAACCCGATGACCCAATACCTGCAGAAAAAGAGGAAAGGATAAGAAGCAATTATGTTAATAGTTTGTTATTTAGGATTGCCAGCTGGCATCCTTAGATTCTCTGTACTGCATTGTAACTAAATAATACATGCTTGTGGGAGCATTTTTCCCTTATGCAATGAATGAATGACCTTTTCTTCTCTAAATTCTCTACTTCTATCATCTTTTCTCGAATCCTTTTCTACTTCTCTCGAGCTATAACAGTATATCTATGAGCTTTTTTTTTGTGTATTATATAAAGCTTAAGATAAGATACACGACATACTCTGATGTGTGGTCTAGTTTATCCCGAAGTATAGGGTTTGATAACATTCATTTCTTACTAATAAAGATATATCTAATGAAAAAGTGTGAAAAAATAAATTAAATATAATTTCAATCAGGCACATGCAACATGTGCCAGGTGTGCGCCTGATCAAATTTGCATTATTGTCCAGGCTAAGGCACAAGCCTCGACAACACTGGTAAAACACATTCATTAATCTTCCAATTCCAAATGAAAAGCATGCCAGTTGTATTTTAATTGAATAATAAAAAGTAGAGCTCCAAATACCTATTACAATAACATTAGAATTCAAGAACAAACCTTTAACCGTAACTCAACACTCATAGTCCCTAAATCCCTAACAGGGTCCACAGAGTCGTCAACGTGGATTATGTCTGAATCTTCAAATGCACCTGTATGATTGAGTTCAAGAAATAAGATAACAAAGAAACATTTTTAAACCAAAGGCACAAGCATTAAAAAACTATAAAGATAAAAGTGGCTTTAGTAACCTCAAACTTATTAGTAAATAGCAATAGCATAAACCATTTAATGATTTTTAACAACCCTTTGTCGAAAAAGAAAAATTAATGTTCTGCAAGGTATGATAAAACTTTAAAATTTAAGTATGCAAACATAGTGATTTGTAACATAATAACGGAAGATAGAAACAGTTTCATCTCGAAAATCTAGATATCTTACGTAAAACATGAAAAATGCCATCAACAGCACGTATGTGCGACAAGAAGTTGTTGCCCAATCCTTGACCTTCATGGGCACCTCTAACCAATCCAGCAATATCATGAATTTCTAAGAAAGCTGGAACCTGTTTGCATCGAAACATCTAAAATGTTTGCACGGGAACCAGCTAAGAAAACAATAATGACTGTTCATAATCTATCTTTTCCAGCTAAAACACTAAAAAAGCATCTGGACAATTTCAGATTTATCTAGTAAACCCATGTACTGTACTTTAATTGCATCCAAATAAACTATGAAATGTTGTTTTAGATTAAGGGTTATTTTAAGTATAAATTAAACGTTACGGACTTACTTGGATACGATAAGTATAACAGTGTAGCCTCTTAAGTGCAATTAATGCTAATTTTATGCAAAGATAGGCAAAAGAAAGTAGAAAACAGATTATACCTCACTTTTGGGCTTGAACAATTGGCAAATCCATTCAAATCGCTCGTCAGGGACATTAACTCGGGCCTCATTGGGCTCGATTATACAAAAGGGGAAGTTCTCAGCAGGAATTGATAGCTTACTAAGCGTGTTGAAAAGAGTAGATTTCCCCACATTAGGCAATCCCACTTGCAAGTGAAGAAGCGATATTTACTGGATGAAAAACTTAAGCTTCAAGAAAAAAATGAAAAGTGAGGTTGAAAGAAGAAAGTTACGATTCCGATCTTGAGGTGAGAAGAGAATCTGCCAAGGATTGGCCTCTCGGCTGGAGCTTCCTTGGATTTAGCTGCTTTCGGAGGCATTGCTTTTAGGGTTTCGCGCAGAGCTGATGTAGGGGCAGAGCTGAGGTGATTTTTTCTTTCATTTTCCTTTCGGGAAACGGAAACTTTTTTTATACTCGACTCAAACCCTAGTCCCGGTTCACTGAGTCTGCTCGAGTTCAAAAGATCAATGGCACTCCATTGTTGGAGAGCTATACCAGCCCAAGTACAAGGCTGAAGGCCCAGAAACTACAAGGCAAAGTGTCAATTTGAACTTCCAGCAATTTTCTAAGCCAATCTTTTTTTTCTAATAAACTAAGTTTCATTAATAAAAATAATATAATAAATCAAAATTAAGATACACTTAAAAGGAAAATTAAAATAATAATCACTAAAAACTAAAAATATGAAGAAAAAAAAAACATAAAACCTCTCATTCTCAAATAATATCCGATATAAAAAGAATCTAATAATCTTCATAAAATTCATTGTCTCTATCAAACGAGACTTTTTACAAAGTGATCAAAGAGTCGTAAGCGGACCAAACAATTTGATAAACCACTTCGTTACACAATTTTGATTATATCGATAAACAATCTTTTACCAAAGAGGAATCAGATAATACGTGACCATTGACAAACTAATTAAAAAATAAATATTGTGAGGATCTTTGTGCAAGCACCAACACAACCGCAGAGAAATGTAAAAAAAAAGTACCAAAGGCCATAAGAAACATGTCAGAAGAGCATAGAAAAATTTGTTACAAAAGCAACGAAAAACGTGTCACAATGACATATATTCTTATTTAAAATTGAAAAAACTTAAAAAAATAAAAATAAAAGACAGTATTAAAAAAACAAATAAAAATAATAATCACCAACGATCGGTAATCAATATTAAAATTAGTGTTGCCAACTAAACAAAAGTCAGAGAGAAAAAAGAAACCAAAACAAAAATATTAAGAAAAAAGAAACCAAAACAAAAATATTAAGAAAAAAGGAAAAATCCAAAGTGTTATTTGTTTTTCCTAATTTAAATATATGTATATATATTAAAGAAATAATGAAGCACAAACTACATAGGAAATAGAAGAAAATGGAGGTTCACTGCATATGTTCTTTTTCATATCAATGTCGTAGACAGCACAACAAGCATCAAATAATATCAAAATACACACACAGAAAGCAAATTACAAAGACCACGTAACAGCAGCAGCACATCAACGTATAACTATTTATAATCATCAAGTGGACGGGCCCTATCTCACACCGACATACACAACAATTTTACAACAGCCTAATTGCCCCTCTTATTAATAAACCTTCGTTGACAAGTACAGTTTAACAAATAAAATTGGCTGAACCCTAGGCTTAAGAAGAAGTTGCGGTCTTCGGAGATGAGGCTGGGTTGAATGCTTCTTGCTCTGCACAACTTAGCTCCTCGTTCGGCCCTGCCTGCTCTCTCTCGATACCCAACAGGTCAAGGTAATAGAGGTAATGGGAGATGATGGTGTTCATTGGATTGATATCGCCTTGCCCACAAGTGTATTCTCCGTAAAGAACGTTCATAGTGGTGCCAAAAGTAGGACCCCGCTTGGCCAAAGTGTCGTTCTTGGTTGGTTTCCAGTTGCCGACAAAAATGTCGTGAGCTGAAGGCTGGTATTTCTTGATTGGGGTCATCCACCTCCAAATGGCGGCCTGGAAGGCAATAGTTGCATTCTGCTCGAGATACTCAGGATGATGCAACAAGTCAACTTTTATACCGTCCCCAGCAGCTCCGTAGTTGTAGTTCCTACAATCAAAAAGCCACCGAAAACACTCAGCGGTCAGATTATTAATACAACTACAAATCATCTCCACGACCTAGGGCAAACATCATATTTCACACACATATATAGGTCATTGGAGGATCATATCTCCGTACCCATATCCACTCAAGGTCGGACACTGTTATTTAAAGAAAGATGGAGAATCAGAGTTGCATAGGGTTCCTATGAAACATTTAACCAGAATAGCAACTTGAACAGACAACTCAAAACTTAATCTGTAACAATGATAAAGTGCAGATGGGGAAGAAAACTGAATATATGTTTCAATCATGACAGGAAAAAGTATTATACGAACCAGTAAATTGGCAAGGCACCACGGCCATAGTACGAAGCGCCAGGGGCACATGGATACATATATTTGTAGAAATCATCACAGTAATCCTGCATAGGGCTCATTTCTTTGTTGAAGCAAAGGCCCCAAGCCAGCGGTCCTCCGGTTATGACTCCATCTCCACCTGAAAATCGTTTACCATCATTAAAAACTCAGCAGAATCGCTCCACTACCAATAATAATTATCCATTAACATTGAAAATCAAAGTTTTCGGGGAGTATTAAACCAATAAGTTTGTTGGATTTTATCCCAAACCTTAGCATTAAAAATCCTATAATCAATCAGGTCAGATCACCATTAAAAACTCATCACAAATGCTCAACTAACAATAAAATCCACAATCATCAAAAACCAAAGCTCCCAGGTGCCTATATGTTTCTCGCATTCTATTAAAAATCTTAGTTTAGAACCAATTGTTTATTTAAATCTTTAGTTCCATGCAAACAATTTATCCAACAGCTATAAAGGATTGCAATCTAAGCTTAGCTGATTTGAGTTGACCCAGAATGTAGAGTTCATAATTATGAACAAAACTGAAATCGTTTACATCATTAAAAACTTTCCACAATTGCTCCACTAACTATAAATAATTATCCATACCCGGGGTTTAAAAGATTCAGCATAGATAACTCAATAAGCAAAGAGAAAATCTAATAATAGCATGTCCCAAGATCTTAATTTACTACCATTTTAGTAATTTATTCAAATCTTTAGCTCCATTCAAGCAATTTATCAACCACCGAAAGGGATTGCGATCTGAACTTAGCTGACCTGACCAGAGTGCAGAGCTTAAAATCTAGAACAAATTTATAAGCTTGTACGATTGCGGATCTTGTTAAATATTTAGTCAATTTCGAAATAAATCAAGATCGGTACTAATATAAAGACCGAGAAATGAACTCACAAGAAGTTTTGGCGCCGACATGGGCAAGGAAAGCAGCGACTTCCTTCATTTGCATAAGCTTACCACCGGTTGTCCCGAAACCCAGAGGCTCATACATGGCGGCAGCCAAAATGAAAGACCGGTAATCCCAAAATCCAACGGCATGAGCGATCGGAGAATTCCTCTTAGAGAAAAGGTTCTCGAATTGATAAACAGCTAAGACATCCGAAATCGTTTGGTTACAACAATAACGTGACCACCAGCTACATTCCCATCCTTGTATACACTCCTTCTTACCCTTGTGAGTCCTAACACGAATCTCCTTATCATCATCAGCGTCGGCCATTAAAGCAAGGTTTGCAACCAAAACCACCATGAGAATCAAAGCAATGGCTTTGCTAAAGTCAGCCATTGTTGGGCTTCTTTGTGTCGGTTTCCCTCGCAGATTCTCGTTTAGGGTTTGAAAGCAGAAATGAAGGATTGCGGTTGTTTTTAAGAGGTGGGAGAAATGAAAGGGAAAGGTGTGGTTAGATCGAAGGTCTCTTTCATGGCGTCTAAGCCAGTGGTGTGTTATATGTTTCGCATGTTTCGCATGATCCAACGGTGGAGAATGGATTATGTGTTCGTGATTTAGGTAATAACAGGCTGGATTTTTGAGGAGGATGCAATGAAGAGTGGCCCCACCAGATGCTCTACCGACAGCTTCGGGAAATAAAAAAATTATTTTATCCAATTTTCACTGTTTGGACTTGCGTCTGCTTGTCTCTTCTACCGTTAACGGTTTGGCCTTCGCTGTAGAAGTTGACAATTGGGTTACTGAGATGAATTAAGATTAAATATTAGGAGTGAAAATTTGGTTAATTTTAAAATATTAGGCATTCCCTGAGATGAAATTTTTATATATTTTTACCTTAAATGAATAATCATTATATTTAAATTTTCTGAATTCGAACATTAATAATTAAGAGTATTTAAATATTTATTATCAAATGATTAATAATTTTTAAAACAAATATTATCATTTACAATCACCCTAAATCGATAAAAATTCATATACTTTTATCTCTTCATTTTCTTACAAAAAAACTGGTTAAATGCTTAATAGGCTGATTTGCTGCTGTAGAGTTTTGAAAAAAAATATTTATTGAAATAAGGTCTAACTGAAATTATTTCTGTTCTAGTGTGAATGCTACAGTACCTTTCGGAAGTTTTATGGACCACTAATTACCGACGTAGGTAATCAATGTAACTTATGAAAAATCTAGGAAACCAATGCTTGAGCGTTTGGAGGACTTGGTGTGACCTATGGAGGTCGCCCGAAGGACTTGGCGCGACCTATGGAGGTCGCCCGGAGGACCTGGTGATCTATGGAGATCTTCGAATAAAAGCCTAATTACCGATATAGATAATAACTGTTTGGAAGACTTGGTGACCTATGGAGGTCGCCCGGAGGACCTGTCGACCAACCCTCGAACTGTAGCAAACACCTCAAATGAGCAAATAATTTTTAGATTGCATTATTTGAAGAATTTTTTTATTTCAACTCATTATCTGAAGAATTTTGCCAGGACATGATCTCTCATAATCCATTATAAAAGCAAAATCAGAGATCTAATACTGATAGAGTAACTTTTGCTTTTCTAGTGTTGTAAATTGAGTTATTAGTGGGCTTTTATAAGTCAGTTGGGCTGATGGATTTTGTAAATCTAAGCCTGTATAAGTGGGTTAGTACCCACTTAATAAAACTTCATTTTGTTCTTTTCTGTTTTGGCTCCGACCAAACACCAATAACTGGAATTTCTGTCGAACGACAAATTTAATATAAGATTAAGGAAAGATGCTATCGGAAATATTATTATTTTTCTAACATCTATGGTAAAAAATTACCTAAAACTTTATTTTTTTACCTAAAACATTAATGTTTTTTAACATTTCCAGTAAAGTGTCCAATATTAACATTTCCGGTAAAAAAAAATTATGTTTTAGGTAGCGCTTTATCGGATATGTTAACAAACCTGGTAAAACGCCCAATAATAATATTTCCGGTAGAAATAATAATGTTTCCGGTAATTTTATACCGAAAATGTTAAAAAAATAATAATATTTCTGATAACGTCTTTCTTTAACCGTACATTAGGCTACCGCACGTGAGACTTTCCCTCAAGCACCGTTTCTTTGTTGAAAATTCTTCACTTGTTTTTCTAGAAAATTAAAAAAAATGCTTAATAACTTTTGTTTGGGCAAATATAATGTGTTTCCGAGAGAAGTGTTTAATTTTTATATAAAAAAAATGACATGTTAATGTTCATATTCGAAAGTAATATGGAGTACTAATTCTCGTATTTTAGCAACAAAATAGGAGACGGAACGAAAACCAACAAAACTCTTACATTGTGGTTGTGCTCCCTGCTTCCTTTCAATCTCTTTGATATTGCACTCCAAATTAGAGGACCATATATGTATTTTCCCCAAATAAATTTGTAATATAAAAGGGTAAACTATACCATTGACCCTTAACTATAGCCCATTTTCATTTATACCGCCATTTTTTAATTTTTGTCAATCATACCCTCCAACTATTTAAATACATTCAATCAGGCCACTAGTCGTTAACAATTAATGAAAGTGCTGACATGACAGTTAATAAAATTGGTATAATTTACATTTAATCCTTATTACTTACACAATCTATCAAACTGATCATAATTTTATATATTTAGTCCATTCATTCTATTGAGAGTGTAATAAAGTTATGAGGCATTTACTCTAACCTTGGTGGTTTGGAGTAGCCACGTTGGTGTTAAAGCTTCCGTATCCTAGAAGCCTTGAGGGTTTGGTTTCAACCTTGACGAGTTTACATGCTCACTAGACTTGGTCGTCTAAGGGCGCAGGTCCCGTTAGACTTTAACTCTGATATTACGACAAGTTGGGCGTGACAAGTGGTATGGCACCATATGGTGGAAGGAAAATAAATTGAACCAACATTATGACTGGAGAGGAAATGGGAATAGAATAAAAAATATTCTAGTAGAGGGGAGGGGATGGAAGGGAATCGAACTCATGACTTATTGGATGAAAAATAATGACCTAAACCACTGCTACAAGATTGATTTTTGGTATAATGCTTACATCAACTAATATTTATCTTATAATATAATGAAGGCCAAATCAATGAAAATTGAAGCAACACTAAAATGACTTGATTTGAATAAATTAATACTTTAAAATATATTGTTTATATTCAACCTGACCCACCCAGAAAACATATTGTTTATATTCGACTCGTCCTGACTTGATTCGAATAAATTAATATTTTAAAATATTTTTAAAAAATATATTTATATTGGACTTATAATTATTTTATAAGTATATTTTTTATATTCGACTTATAATTATTTTATAAGTATAAAATTAATATTCGAATTATACTTAAAAAATATTCGACCCACCTAGAAAATATATTGTTTATATTCGACTTGCCCCTACTTGATTCAAATAAATTAATATTTTAAAATAGTTAAAAATATATTTATATTCGATTTATAATTATTTTATAAGTATATTTTTTATATTCGACTTATAATTATTTTATAAGTATAAAATTAATATTTGACTTATATTTAAAAAAATATTCGACCAACCCAGAAATTTATATTGTTTATATTCGACTTATAATTATTTTATAAGTATATTTTTAACTATTTTAAAATATTAATTTATTTAAATTGAGTCAGGACGAGTCGAATATAAACAATATATTTTCTAGGTGGGTCGGGTTGAATATAAACAATATATTTTAAAATATTAATTTATTTGAATCAAGTCATTTTAGTGTTGCTTCAATTTTCATTGTTCTGGCCTTTGTTATATTATAAGATAAATATTAGTTGATGTATGCATTATACCAAAAATCATTCTTGTAGCAGTGGTTAAGGCCATTGAATTTCATCTAAGAAGTCCTAGGTTCGATTACCCCTCCCCTCCAAGCTCAATGTTGTTTCAATTTATTTTCCACCAATCAAATGGCACCACGTCATATAAAAGTCATTTAATGATATCATGACACGTGTCATCATATAATTAGAGGATTAAAAATGTTGAATTAATTTAAAATTATGACCAATTTTATAGATTATGTAAGTAATAAAGACTAAATGTAAATTATAACAATTTTATTAACTACCATATCAGTACTTCCATTAAGGCTAGTGGCATGATTGAATGCATTTAAATAGTTGGGTGGTGTAACATCCCAAATATTGGGCTAGGGACCAAAGTGTTAGATTTTAAAACTTGATGATTAAATTGTGATAATTGAAAAGTTCATGGAGTTGAGTGAAATTTCTTTGTGTAGGATGGATGAGCAAATATTGAATGATAGAAGGGCAAAATGGTCTTTAGGCAAGAAAAGAATTTAAAATTCATTCTATTATACATTTAAGCAAAGAAGTGAGAAAGGAAGAAGTATCTGGAAAAATGCTTATTTCTCTTATTCTTCTTCCTTTAGCTGTGAGCCTCATTTCAAAGGCGAGTTTCTTATAAGTTGATTATTTCTTAAAATTAAGTTTTCTTTTTGGTCTTTGGGTAATCCATAAGCTTAAGGAAAGCTTAAGGTTGATTAAAACTAAAAGATGGATAAGTTATGGATGATTAAGTAAAGGGTTTTTTTTAGTGTAGTAATGAGAAAGAGTTATAAAAAGGATTTTGAAATCATATTTGACTTGTCATTAGTCAAAATAAAAGGTTTAAGGTGTTAAAAGAATTAAGAACAATGTTGATAAGTTGGTATGCTTTTTGGTTTTAAGGGATTACTTGGGATTTTGGAGGTTAAGATGTGTTAAAGTGATATAAGTTAGTCTTGTTAAGTATAGTTGAGTGTAATAGCATTAAAAGAGTTCAAAGAGTGGGATTTAGATAAGTTTTGGTAAATTTTTTAGTTAAACCAATAAGTTATGGGCAAGTGGTATCGATACTAGATGAACAATATCGATACTCCAATGAAAAAAGAGGTAATATATCTGTTTAGGTATCGATATCGGATGAACAGTATCGATACCATAAGGTAAAAGTTGATGAATTCTTCAAAGAGTATCGATATCAAGGGTATCGATACAAATGTTAAGGTATCAGTACCATTTTTAGAGATGAATTCCAGAATGTAGGAAAGGTATTGATATTGAAGTATAGTATTGATACCCCAGTGAGGAAGCATTGGTACTGTACCTTGGGTACAAATACTATTAAGATTGAAATATTGAATTAGTTGTTTTATTTAAGTTAAGTTATTAAGGGTTGATTTATAGTGATTGAACTCCGACATTTATATATGTCGTATCTTTGTGTAGATATTGAACGAAGGTAAGTTTCAGACAATTCGAAGCTATAAGAGCGTTCAAGAGTTATAAGTGTATTGCGTTGACTTAGTGAGGCCAAGGTGAGTGCATACTACTATGTATATGGTGTTTTATGGAAATAAGGCTTGCGATGAGTCTATTTCCAATGTTTTGATTGCATGATTCCATAAATACAAACATATTGTTAATATAATTACTATGTGTACATGAGTA